TCTATTTCCTTTTACCATGATATTATTTATTGGTCCAGATTGAAGGATTTTTGCTCACTTTATGTTGAGGTATAATCTATACTGAAGGTTGTAGTTTTTAATCTTCATCTGTAAATATTTTAAGTCCTCATAACTTTTAGCAAGTAAGATTGTGTTATATGTATATTTACTTGAGTTCTCTCAATCTTCAAATATTTTCAAATATAACATTGTCCTATTTTTAGTCTATTGATAATATGAGAACCTTTTTTATCCTTAGTGTGTTATATGAATTTACTAATTTCATAACATGTAACTTTTCCTGTGATAAATAGACATGACATACTTTTTCAGTCAGGACAGCTTCTAGACTATTCTCACAAATCATTCACCTTCAACCTTTGAAAATTGCACCAGTATTAGACAGTTATTTCAGTCCTGCCAATTTTGATGACATCAAGATTGGAGGAAGACTCATCAACAATCTACATTATGCAGATGACACAACCTTGCTTGCTGAAACTGAAGACGACCTGAAGTGTTTGCTGCAGAAGGTCAAGGACTGTAGTCTTCAATATGGATTGAAGCTCAACATCAAGAAGACAAAGATCTTCACCACTGGACCAATTGGCAGCACCCTGATAGATAGAGGAGATTGAAGTTGTTAACAGTTATACTTTCCTTCATTCCACAATCAACACTCTTGGCACCAGCAGTCAGGAAATCAAAAGATGTGTTGCATTAGGTAAATCTGCTATCAGAGACCTTTCCAGAGTACTGAGAAGCAACAATTTTCACTCTAGAGACTAAGGTGTGCCTGATCCAGTCCATGGTCTTTGCAGTTACTTGCTATGCATCAGAGAGCTGGATAATGACTAAGGATGATAGAAGAAGAATTGGTACCTTTGAGTTGTGGTGCTGGAGAAGAGTCGTGAACATACCATGGACTGCCAAGAAAACAAAGAGGTCTGTCTTGGAGAGAATAAAACCAAGTTTCCCTTTAGAAAGTAGGATTTTGAAGCTCCTTCTTACATATTTTAGGCATGTGGTCAGGAGGGACCAATCCTTGGAACGGTGGAGGGACAGCACAGGAGAGGAAGACTCCTGATAAGATGGATTGATAGAGTGACTAGGGACATGGGGAGAGGTGGGTTGTAGTGAGTGGGACTGACTCAAGACAGGGCAGGCTTCAGAGACGTTGTGCATAAGATTGCTATGAGTGAGAGGCAATCGATGGCATGTAACAACAATTAGGTCAGAGAATTTTCTGGCAAAATTTGTAAACAGTTGTTATTCATTTTGACTATTACTATTTCCTTTAGTGTTTTCCATTCTTTTCCTTTTTCAAGATCTTTCCTCACTTTCTTCCTCATCTCTCTTCTCCTTTTTCTTGACTTTCTATCTGTCATGCATATTTATTTTGAGGTTGAAGAGACTACATGATTTGTAAGATGGTGCCCCTATAGACTAGATCTTTTCTCTTTTCCTCAATTATATGAGAAAATTAACATAAACGCATTCTAATAAACATGCTCTCACTAAAGCTAGTTGCTTTTTCCTAGTTTATGCCATTTATTTTCATTATTTGTTAAAAAAAGACAGTCTTATTTTCATTAGAACCTTACATTCTACATTTTGGAGTCTTGATTTTCCAACTTGCTTTGGTGCAGTACTTAAAGGTTATTTTTCAGATTTATATTGAAAAACAGATACTTGTAGAAAAATTAGTATTAGATCCAGTCTTTATGCATTTTTGCTTTTATTTCCTAGACTTTAGTCTATTTTTCATACAGTTTTCACCTCTACTAAAATTATTTATCCTAGTAGACTTTAATTTTTGGTTTTACTTGGTTACATCTTCTACTAAACTTCTCTTACAAGCAATAAATACATACAAATCTCTCATTTTGAGCTGTCAGTAGACCCAAAGGAGACTATCTAGCTTTAATTAGGATGGTCTTTCTCAACTTTATTACTGTTTAGTGAGCTTAGACACTTGAAGTCAGTGTCTTGAGAGAGAGAACTGACTGTCTTAATGGTTCGGTCACTGAAGAACTCAAATACGTCCCATTTTAGCCTTTTTCTTTCTTTGATAGGTGTAAATATATGCACTTCCTTCTAACTTTTATTTTGTACTCTTATATACCTTCATTTGCTCAACAATTATTATTGAATCCCTACTATTGTAAGATGTTGGGGGGACACAGGAAGAAATATGGAGAATATGTCACTGCCATTATAAATTGTACATAACACTGAATGTGCTTAAAACCAGGAAAGTAAGTAATTATAAGAAATGATGAAGCCATTATTTGATAAGTGAGATTTTGTAAGATTCTTGAAAGCAGCAACTATGTCCTTGCTTTCTGTATTCTCAGATCATAGTAGGGCAACTGCTATCAAGAAAAAGTATAACAGACATTGCATGCGAAGGAGCTTAGAAATGCAAATCATGGTACTGGTGGAAGCAACAAGCAAACTTAAAAAGGAATAGTCAGTGACACTAAACCAGGCAAAGTAATCAAACTTGTGCTTGTTTAGTCATTGATACCATTAAAAGGACAATTACCTCAATTCATTCTTTAGAGAATCCTCGACTAGAATACAGTCTACATGGAGACATGGTAGTCTACTTAGTTTTCTAGATGAAGGATTAAAGCCATTGCTGGGATAAGGATAGAAGAAACTGCTTATAACATGTGTGTGGAAAGGCTTCAAATGACTTTAAAATATAGAGTTCTGATTGATAATATAAAATATTGCAATTATTCCTTGCTAATACATGAGGCCTTGTTTTGGTTGCCACTGAGATAGTAATTGAAAGATGAAAAAAAAAAAAATCAGAGCAAAGCATTGGCTTTAAAAGTATATGGGCCAAAAAGATTATGTTGAGTTTGAAAGTAGCACTGCTTGAAAATTAGTTGTGACTACACAATTCTTTCTATATAAAATTTATCATAAATACAGCAAAGAGAAATATTCATATCTGTTTAGAAGCCCTACTAGTTCTTTCATTCTTGTGAGAAATTGTTGTTGTTTGTGTACCATTGAGTTGGAACTGACCCATAGCTGATTCTGTGGCCGGTTTTCAGAAGCAGTAAATCACACAGGAGTAGATTTCCCATTCTTCCCCCATGGAGCAACTGCTAGATTAGAGCCATGTGCCTTCGAGATTACAGCATAGTATATATATAAAAAATAATCAAGTAGGAAAGAAAATGCTCAAGAATTCATAGTGAAAGACTAGTAATAAGAAAAGCATCTCACATTTCCTTATAGTGTTTTGAAGACCAGAAACATCAATATTTCAGACTGACTTTATTCCTCAGGTTTTGCCCCATCTGAAAATCTAAGAGGACTGGGTATGAATGGCCTGTTTAGATTGACTCCTGCATGTGGGAAGGACTGTGACATCTCTTCCTGTGGCCTCATTCTGCATGATGTGCTTCTGAAAGGCACTCTGGGCTCTTTCCATCCATCTTTATTACTAGCAACAAGACTTCTGTTAAAGAGCATGCTGTATGTGCTCTTGTGTTCTGCTTTAAAGAGGATGCTTATTATTTCTTTGCTAAACTAAAAAAAAAACAAACATAAATGTATGTGGTTTTGTGCCTTAATCTAGTCTGACAAAAAAGTCTTTCAAATGCAGTAAATGTTGTCACTTGTGAAGTATCAGGGTGTGGTGAATCTGATAACAGGCCTTTTTGGTTATATCAGTAGATGTTTTTGTATAAAGGAAGGTCTCACAAACGCAGGTAATGTTGGGAAAGATATTGATGTGGTTTGTGTAAAAGTGTACACGCTGTGTCCTATGCCTTTGTTATATGTGCACAACAATAACATTGCCTTGCCTGGCTGACTAAATGATTACCGAAGAATACTCAGTAAAATGCAAGGACTCAAATGGAACAGGACCCATAGTTATTAAGACTGGTGCAAAGGAGATAACATCAAAGTTAAGAGAAACATGCTATATTTTTACACTTAAACAAACCATGTCATCATGGCTTTATAGTTCTTTTCATGAACAACTAGCTTGATAGGAAAAAGCAAAAGCAATAGCTGTATATTTACTTTTCTAAATTGCTAGCTCTGACTTCCTTAGTTAATATTATTTGAGGAACACAACCGTGCATAGATAACCTTCATTAATGTGAGCTCAGGGATTCCCACTCCTGGAATTTCTCATTAATTACAGAGTAGAGGAGATGAGAATCTTGTTCCCTGTCCACTCCATCTCTACTTGGAGTACAAGAGTACAGCAGAGTCTTTTATTTAAGAAGTGAAAAAGGGCATTTCAACAAGCAAGTTTACACTATTCAAAACATTTGATTATTCTACTTTTCCTCTTCCTTTAGGATGTATTCAGTTAAAAACCTGCATCCTGGGTAAGATGATGTGGACCAGGATGCACATGTGTGGGTGTGGCCTTGACAGGAGACCTGTAGGTCTTATTTTCTTTGAAAAGAAAGCAATAAAAGTATGTTAAAATGATCTGACAAGATGAAATTCTGAGAAGTCAAGTAGATGTGACTTAGTAAAAAGCTACAATTTGTTCTTTCATCTCTGTTCTGTCTCGTTATTTTACTACAAGTCTTCCACAGGGCATGCATACAGGAAGCAGAGAAATTTGCTTTTTAAACAAAAGGAAATTTTACAATGTGCCTCATATTCTTTCTTTCCACTTGCATATATTTTGAACTTACGAGTAATTACTCATGTCATGAATGATAAAAAATTAGTAAAATTCTTTAATTACAGAAAGAAAAATACAAAAAACAAAACCACCACCACCACCACAAAACATTAACACAGAAGTTAGAGCAATCTTACTTTTAAAAACATATTTTTTTCTATTTTATACATAAAATTACAAAATATATTTTATACAAAAAATGACAAAATATATTTTAAGAATAAAATATTACAGGGGAAGATTAGATTGCAAAATTTTTTCAAAAAGTTATTTTTCTGATCGATGAGATTTCAAAACTTGCCTAATCTTCTATTTCGATTTTTAGTTTCCTGGTTAGTTTTATGGTGGATGCCCGAGGTGGTGCTATGCGAGGATGCAGACACAACGGGCTCCGAATCATTATCCCTCCTCGGAAATGCACTGCCCCAACACGAGTCACTTGCCGACTGGTCAAACGCCATAGACTGGCGACCATGCCTCCAATGGTGGAAGGAGAAGGCCTGGCCAGTCGCCTGATTGAAGTTGGACCTTCTGGTGCTCAGTTCCTTGGGTAAGGGTTTCTGCTAAGCCTCCCACTTTGTCATGGATGAGCATAGCTCTCCACATGAGAGCTCTAGGATGGAGTAGAAAAAGGTACGTCAAACCATTTTGAAAGAAGATTGACTGCTGTGAATTTTTTTCCAAAAACTAGAAATAGCACCTCAATATTTGACTCTGCCTATATGCTCTTATTTTAAGGCATTAATGAGTTAAATGTTCAGGTTGATTAGACCCCCAAGATGAATGAATAATCATAATTGTAATTTAACTACTTACTGGTAGGTATTTACTTTTCTATTAAGATTTACATAGTAAAGTAATAAATAATATAGCACTATTCCAATATAAACATAACATCTTAAGAAGCTATAGAATAGAACCAGTGTCTTTACTTTGGGAATCAATATTGGCTTTTCGAGCATCTTAAAGTAATTAATCTATTTGGTATTTTTCTGTTCTCAAAATTGCTATTTTGTGACTTAAGACGACAATGACAGTGCATTAATCACAGTTTTCATTAAGACAACAAAATCAAGTCTAACTTCCTCCTTGCTCATTTTAGCAATTTTGAGCAGAAACTAGCATTTCTTCTTTCTTCTGTTTGTTTGTACGGCTGCTATTATATTGAGTGGCATCTCCGTGTGCCAAGAAATGAATAGCTGCCGCTGAGAACTGACAGAAGGATGAAGTAGTGGAGGGGACAAGTTTCAAAACATTTTGAAACAAATCAATTGTCTTTAAGTCTTGTCATAATGAGTATTATTGCTTAAAAAAACTGGGAGAAACACCAATTTAATCAATCACGAAGTCTTTTTCTTTATCAATGTCATATCAAGGAGAAAATTGCTTGCTTTAGAATTCGGGAAAAGTTCTAAAGCCTTGTAATTTGGAACAAACTAGCAGCTTGCTCCAAATTAGTTCCACACCTGAAAGAGGCTATTTCCCAGTAGTAGAAACCATTTCCCATGTCCTCCTACCCCAGACCACAGCTTTAGGAGGAGCCTGTGAAGTTCTGGGGTGCACTAGAAACCAGTGTTAGGATTGTAGAAGATTGTAGGTGATTCTTTTCATATTTGGTCCCATCCCTTGGCCCTTCCCTCACACCCAGGTAGTTTTAGGCTTCCGCATACTCTTCAAATCTGCTGAGGAATATCAATAAAAACATCTGGCCTTTCTACAGAGTCAGAGTTTTTTGGTATATTCCCAACAGCTTTGTCTATCCCATGGAACACATATAGAAACATGTACACTTTTTTTTTTACATTTTTTTGCTAGTGCCCTGGCGGTGAAATGACATAGGGACAGATCTGACAGCTAAGTGCTCTCCTTCCACAGATGCGCCTCCATTGTACACTCTGGGTCTCAGTTCCTTGCTCTTTGTGACCAATGGAGGGGGCAGAACCAAATGCAGTGAGAAACCAAAGTTCACCCTGTCCATCAGTTGGTGAAACTGGGGTTCTGTGGAAAACCATACCTGAAGCTTACTTATGTTCTTTCTTTCACTGCTGCTTTGGATGTACTCAGTAAACTTCACCTGCCAACGGCTCCTCCCCCACTTAATGAGGGAGAAAGTTTGGTCAGCCGCATCCTTCAGCTGGGGCCTCCTGGAACCAAATTCCTTGGGTAGGAGTGACTTAAAACAAATTGATGGCTGCTGGCCCCCCATTCTTCTCCTTCTTCTGCAATATGATTTCTCTTTTTGTCATTGTGCCCATGACATGTCCCTCTCTATGATTTAAATTCTGTATAGCCTATCTTTAGTGGACCATTTCTGACCCTTGTGGTATGTGACTTTTATTTTGGAGTGATGTTTTTATATCTTTCCCCTTAAAGTGCTGTGACCTTCATTTTCGTTTAAGCATGAGATCTGCCTAGTTGTACTATGTGCTAGTTCTGATGTCGTTTTGATGAATTTGGAATCTGTATCAAAGCAACCTGGACTCAAAAAATCAAAAGCCTCTGTATATTTTGAGGATGATTGTAACCTGAAATAAATCAGGACGGTGCATGTGCTGGATCCTGAATGTAATAGGCATTGGACACAGTTGTGTTGTCTGCTGAGATGATCAGTTTAGGTCATACTGTGTCCACATGCCTATTGTTTCTTTGAATGATGAAAATACAAGCCAACCATGAGTGCATGTCTCTTTAGTTCACAAGTAGTCAATTCTTCTGACATCTCCTCATTGACAACACATCAAATTATGCAGCACACCAGCATCTCCCCTCCGAAACCATCTGTCATTTTGCACCTTGTAGACAATGTTGTAGGAGATGCATACATCGTAAATATGCATGCACATTTCTTTTGGTTAAATGTGATATGCTTACATTTATCAAAGGAGGAGTTCCAGAATGCCACATGCACTCACAACAAACATCATTTGGCTTCAGGTAGCAGCATGTACCCGAGGAGGGGTGCTCCCCTGAGGTAGAGGGCTACTGCACAACCATCTGCTAGCCAAAGAGCCCCAGAGGATGGCCCACTATGCCCCTGTCCCCAGAAAGGGAAGAAATCCAGGTCACTTTGTAACAGACAGAGTAGAGGTGCTTGTCTTAATCCTGGTCAGCTAGCACCACACTAAACACTTTGCATTGCTGTGTCAGGCCTGTGATTGTGGAGATCCCTCATTTTGCGGCTCTTCGAGGGAAGGAACGGGAACTGGTGGTCCTGCGCAGTGAGAACGGGGACAGCTGGAAAGAGCACTTCTGTGAATACACCGAAGAGGAGCTGAATGAAATCCTCAATGGTATGGATGAAGGTATGTGGAGAGTTTTAAAGAACTCAAAAGTGGAAGAATAAAAATGACTACAACGGTGCTTCTCTCCTGTGACGTACATGACCGTGCATGTGTGTGTCTTGCATTCTTTTACTATAACATGTAGTCTGCTGTGTTACACTGTTGGTAATTAAATTACATGATGTATTTGCCTCACTTAAAAAAAAATAAACAGCTCATTCGAATAAAGGGATACAGCTTTCCCCCATCATTAGTATAAACTTTTGGGGGGCCTAAAATACTAGATCAAATAGATACTGTTTTCATCACCTTCAAGAAGACTAATATCAGCTAATAATCCAATATTTTAAAATAATGCTTAACTAAAAACTTACATATTTGAGTTACTGATCAAAAGTATAAACTTTAGTATTGAAAGACTTAACATGTTAAATAACATTATAAAAAGTAAAACAAAAGTCATCGCTGTCATGTTGGAAGTTACAGCTGACCGTCCCTCCAGCAGGTTTTCAGGAGGCTGTAAATTGCATACAAGGAAACAGCCCATCTTCTCCTGGTGCTGAAGGTTTACTGTGTTCTCAGTACAATAACATCTTACCCCAGCTAGGGACACATTCTTGTAGTTAGTTTTTACACATAAAAAAATGCTCATTTAAAAAAAAATTTTAATTATTTGTATGTGTGTATGGGTGTGTGTATACTGTTTGTTTTCCTAGCAGTCCATGGTACTCTCAACACTCTTCTCCAGCACCACAGCTCAAAGGCATCAATTCTCCTTCTATCC